TAATTAGCTGGTATTAAAATACGCTGTTCCATTTGGTCAGATTCATATATATATAAAAGCTCCATCTACTTGGTTGTCATTATTCCTTTATAGGTTTTGTGGAGAAAAGGAAGAGTTGAGCTTTCCCAGCTGACTATGATGCAAGGCTAAGGTTGCCTTGTTCTGTGAGATTAATATAGTTTGACAGCACTTCGAGTAAGAAGCAATAATTTCTGTTGATACTAAACAGTTGGTCACTTTGAGTAGCAATAAGGAATGTTGTCTTTTGTGTTGCACAAGATTTGACCTCTTGGCTGAAATTAGCATTAGATTCCAGTGATTCCAAAAATAAAATGATATATGGATTTGGGCATGCATGGCAGAACATGTGTTCAGCACATAGAAACACAAAGAATTTTTGTCATTTGAACTCTAGGTTGGAATAGCAAAATGTCATTGATGCCTGCATCAGCTGAATTAAATTAAGTCATTTTTAAAAAGTACAGAGGACATTATCTGGTGATGGCAAGAGATAATTTAAAACATGCTATTATGAAACAATTTAAAATCAAGCATGAATTAAAAAATACATTATTTTGTTTGTATACATAAATTATTGCATTATTTGCTGTGTCAGTGAATAAGTGAAAAGTTATACAATTCCTTTGTATCTAGGAATATTTGCTTCTCTCAAGCCACTTACCTGCTAGTGTATTCAGTTGGAAGTCAGTGAATTTTACAAGAATATAGTTAGAGTCAAGAAACTCTGGTCCAAAAGTTCTAAAACATCAGACCTACATTCTCTTGCTAGTGGTGGTTCTTAATGTGGATTGAGTGGACTCTAGGGTCCACTAGCACTTGACGAACAGACAATGGCGGGGGGGGGGGGATCTACGGTAAAGACTTTGCCAACATTATAGTGTCTGTCTTATTGGTGAGGCACATGATACGCACCCTAAATGGACTTCCTATTTTTGTCATTATTTTTGTCATTTTTTTAAAACTATTTTCTAGTGCACATGTGCAGAGGTGTGAATCTGTGAATAACACCTCTCACCGTGTATCAAATGCTAAATGAGGAACAACTAGGTGAAGGCCTCCCAAAATATATCTTTGCCTAATCACGTTGCCTTCAATGGTGCTTACTCCTACAAAAGTCAGCACAGGACATGGACTTCCAAATCATCACTGAAAAGAGTGGGGGCATTGTTTTGGCTTTCAGGAAAGAGCTATGAATTACTTTTTAGAAATTCCACTCTTTCATGACAGTGAACTTATGTGTGACATAATGGAACTATTAAAAACAGTTAAACTTAAAGGACTGTTTGCCTACATACTTCACCTTTCTAACTCCTCCTACTTCTCCTGTAATTCATTTATTTGTGTCACAAGATCATGCTTTCAGCACAGTGGAGCTGGCGTGGTATTCATTAGCATGTGCCTCAACACTGGTAAAAGTGTTTTGCACGAATACCACCACAGCACTCCCTAACAGACAGAAGGGGCTGTAGTGCAGTTTCCTTCCCTGTGTCATATGATAGACTGAAGATGTAATAAATGACTTTTTTCTAATTAGAGTTTACTTCCCCAAAGAATGAGGTCATTTTTGACCTTACTTAAAGCTGAATCTACAATATATGGAAAAATCCCTGTTTTTCTCAGACTAAAATTCTTTATTTTCCTTTCCTTAAGCATATGGACAACTCTCATACTGTATACATGCATTCATGGACTTAAAAGGGACAGTGGATCTTGGAAAAGTCATCCTTTGTAGCTCACAAATGGACACTTTCCACAGGGGCTTCCAAACAGATAGCTCTTGATGCTAATAAATCATTGTTCTTCTATTGTGGGCCAGAAAGAGAATTACAATTAACTTTCTACACTATTGTGCATTTGTTATGTGCTTCCACTAGTTCTGTCCCCACCAGCTTCTTAGTGCTACTCTTTCATGTTTTTAAGGGGACTTACTTTGTTGTGGGTAATGAGTTTCTGGGCAGCTGAACTTAACACAACTCAGAAACATTCATTATATGCTTTGTAGTGGGTGCCATTTTTATCTCCTGTTTAATTTACATCTATCATCTGCTTCTTTTATCTTGATTTTAAATGATGCTGAAACAGCTATATATTTTCCATATTATATATGTGTGATATATAGTATGTGTATAATAGCAAAATGCTCTTAAATGAAAGAGTGTTATACTGTTATATCCTTATAATATGATGCAACAAATACGATGTACCGTTTTAATAAGTTTGCTTATTGGATTTTTTAAAAAATGGTGTTAAAATTTGCTATGCCTCTGTAATTTCAGAGTGCATTTTTCTTCACAAGTGAACAGTTTGTGGCTCTCCAGATGTTTTGGCCTATACTTTTCATCAGGCCTAATGCCATGGACCCATAACTCTCCCTGATCTTTCTCCTTTTCTCAGCAGATCATGACAAGACGCTTATCACTGCAATCTATTATTATGTTAAAACTGGCCATCCAGAAGTAGCCTCTTTATTATATAAAGATCAATTGAGTTAAGGCCCTTTAACTGCAGAGTTAGCTCTTGCCCATAGCAGAAGTTGGTATCAGACTGAATCCTGCTCCTCACTTCTTCCCACAGACCAACCTAGCTGCACTGTCTGGGAGGTTCATGCTGTTTGTGAGCCCGAGGGTAGGAATGCTGGATGTTACTTGATTGGTTTGTTGTTTGACTTAATGTCAGACCACTGGGCTCATAAAGTCACATGCCTCCTCTTCTGACCTTTCCCGTTCTGCAGTGTCTTCTCCTGGACCAGAGGTGGTTTGTTTCTCACCAGTTGCTTGGCTTATCTCAAAGCTTGTTGGCCCTGGAAAGTCCACTAAGCATTTCAGCACAGTCTCCTCTTCTAGTTCAGATTCAGAGTCTAAAATAGCCACCTTGGAATGCTGTATTTTGAGAGAAGCATACCCAGTCCCTTCACCTAGCCATCATATGATAGGAACTGTAACCCAAAACTCCTTTAGGGCCACATGTTTCCCACTCCTGCTGTAGCTATACTCCTATAATTCTCACTTTAAAATCACATTTTGAAATGGTTATTATCATCTCATAAAAAAGACCTTTTTAGTCAGTACCATTAACCACCTTGTTAAAATGGGGATGAATGGAAATAATTGTATCTTGTTCAAAACTAGTTATTTTAGCATTGTAGGAGTATAGCTCTTTTACATAAGTGGTTATTTACCATTATTTTCATTTTTAAAGCAAACAAAGCCAGAAAAGTACTGCACGCTAGTGGTACTGCACAATATGGTACCCACAGCAAATTACATTGAATGAGTGCTGGGAATTTTGCAGGGTGTCCAAGTAATAATGTTTGTGCTACTTTTGAATCAGGTCTGGACTGAGACATTCTGCCATGTCATGCCCAAATAAAGTGACTAATAAATCTATCTTCTACACTGATGTTGGGCAGCATCTTCCACCATACCTGAAGGTGGAAAATTAATTTAGGAAGTACGTTGTAGGGCACAAGGCCCACATTGCTTTCTTTTCACATCTTACTGCCACCTAAGGCAACTGGTGCACTTTGTCTAATGGTAGAACCAGACCTAATTTGTATATCATCCTTGCATGTGGAGTGGGAAGGGAGAAGATAAGAAATCAAATGTGCAATTTTTTACTTGTGCCTTGTAGACCAAGTGTTCAGCATTAACAAATTAAAGCTTTCGCATGTGAGAATGCCCTTAGCTTTGGTGTCTCATCAATTTATATAGGGCTACGGGGAAGAAAGGGCTAATGTTAAAGACTGCCTCAGTTCATTGCATTTAATGAAAGAAACCATTGAGTATTTACAGTAAGTTTTAAAAGGGGGGAAGGTGTGTACAGTTATAATACTATAATATATGGAACAGTTCAAATGATGCTTTGACAATTCGAATGTGCTCTCCCCTAAAATTGTTGGCTTATCTCCAAAGTGCACTTCATCTCAGGCACAGAAAGGTCACTGGTTTCTGCAGATTTCCCCAGATTACGTGGCAGCTGCATCATTTCATGTTGCGTTGCATGCCATTTCGGACAGCTCCCCATTCCTCAGGAGGGGTTGCAAGAAGGAGGGAGTAGAAAAATTCTGGTGCATCCCTGAACACCATGCACAGTTCTCAAGATTCAAGCCATTGTGGTTTTTAATGTTAGGGTATAACCGCCTTACTCACATTCTAGCTGTGTTTACTTTTCTTCCACTAACTACGCAACCCTATACATGTTTACTCTCAAATAGGCCCCAAGTGGATTTGTAATAGATAAGGCAACATAATTGTTGCAATTCTGTCTCTTCAGCATGCTGCTTGCGATGTTAATTCTTACTTGGGTATCCAGAACCTGGTACATAAGAGTTCACTGGAGTAATTTTAGACTCTTGGAGTTGATTGCTTAAAAGTAGTTGACTCTGTTCCTCTGAACCTGCACCGTTATGTGACCCTAACTTAACAGTATTTTTATGTTTTAACTAGCAGCAGCAAGACATACTAATGCTCATTTACCCTTTCCCTCCTACCTCCATTTTATGGAAGATAAACATTTCCCATTCTGCCATTGCCAAATTATTTAGGAGAAGAGTGTAAATTGAAGCCATTTATCTTGAAATGTGCCATTGCAGCAGACTGTTTATACAAGTGTAAGAAATTGTAACATAGAAATATTTGGTCTGGTCTGAAAGGAAAAGGTTTCTTTTCTTTTCTTTTTTAATAAAGTTTCTACATATGGAAATTTTGGTATGATCCTAAAAGAAGACGTGTCTAGCAGGAATTGACTTAAGACATGGCTCTGTTTGTGGAATCAAAACAATGATTTTTAAAAAATATAATGAAGATAATGTATGTCCTTTTCTGTGCTGTAGCTCTTCTCAAAGTTGCTTCAGCTTTTAACTAGCTACAGAAAATTCCATGCATATGGGAAAGTTTATTGGTGGCCTGTAAGCTCTTAGAATGTGAATCCAGAGTCAGTTATTGTTGGCTGATCCCAGGTTGTAAATATTTGTCTGTCAGTTGGTGGACGAGTGAGTCGGGAGTTAAGTTACACACGGCAGAAGATTGGAGAAGAGGCCATGTTTAATCCCCAACTCATGATTCAGACACCACAAGAAGACCACGCTAATGTACTAACAACAGAAGCACTCAGACAGCACCTTGATTCTGCACTTCAAGCGAGCAGGGTACACGTATATATGTATAACAGGTAAGATGAGAGGAGAAAGGTGACTTCCCTTTCCCCATCCCAGGAACTAAGGTCAGAAGAAGTGAGAAAAATGTCAACCAGTTGATGTGGGAAGTGTTATTTTTCAGTTTCGTAGTCCTCCACTGTAGACTTCCACTGCTTCCACAAAGCAGAACTGATGCAGGGAATATGGATAGCCTTCACATACGCATACTGCTTGTGTTTCCTTGGCTGTGTAGTTGCCTTGATTGTGAGCACACAGCAAAGGAAAATGCAGTATACCTGCACATTTGCTTTTCAGTATGTGCAACTCTCCTGAAGGGCCACTTGGAAAGAAACGAGGAAATCAGCCAGAGTCCCCTTCCGCCCCCAACTGCCTAATAGTTTTAAGCATCCCCAATTCCTTTCTAGCATCTGGCAAATGGGGGGCAAGGAGATGGGCAGCACACTTGAGGGGCTGCCCGTCTCCTTCTCCAGCAATCACCAGGTGCAGACCCTAGGTTTCAATGTCTGAAGTTCCTTTGTTTCAGAAAGTAAACATATATGCCAATATGATAAGCATATAGATTTGCTATTGGCTTAAAAGGAAACATAACTTCTTTATTTTCATGAAATATTTTTAAAGGCTTATGATTTTGAATATGTTGGACTGCTGTATAAATACAGGCTTATGGGTATCAGAGTGCCACCCTACAAATTCAAAACAGTTTTTGATAGAGTACAGATAAATATCCAACATGAAATCTGCCTGACACACTGAGAATTTTCTAAGAACCAGAAAATCCTTTGCATTTCCCAGTAGGTAAGATTTCAAGGGGTGACTTGAAATTATTGTCTGTCTACAGAATTCCCAAGTTATTTCCAGAAAGTCTCTGTTGCCATCTGATAAAATGAAAGGTTGAGGTGCACTCATTTACATGGCTCTAAAGAGCAGAAGAAACATTAATTTACTCATAGAGCCAATAAATAAATAAATAAATCAGGAGGCCATCAGATCCAATGACCAGCACTACCATAGCTCTCCAGCATTTTTGCCCCATACAGGTTGACTAATATGATTTGAATTCTAGTATGCCACAAGACTGACAAAACGGGAGAGAACACAAAAAATGTTGGTTGCAAAAACTCCCATATATGCTAAGCAGTGAGTTGCAGATTGTAATTGTCCTAGAATGGGGAGAATAAGTAAACATGGGCACGTGCAGAAATGGTGTTCTCCACAGTTCCTATATGATTCAAACCCTGCTTACAGAGTACAGCTTCTTGCAACATACAAAAACTGCCCTGTTTTGATTATCACATAATAGCTCCCTTACTCCATAAGAGTTAACAATCTACTTCCTCTGTAATTTTCAGTTTCCCTAAAACTAGGCTATCTGCATGGGTGGTACTCACATTGAAAAAAATGCATGGTAGTATTTGTGAAAAAAATTAAGTATTGACATGATTTGCACTTTTTTAACAGACAATGGAAATTGGAACACTTATGTCACAAATCAGGGGAACCCATCACAGAAACAGGTTACATGGACAAGGTACAAGCAATAGTTGTGTTTATTATGCTTTTATGTATTTCCCTCCGCTCATTACCATTTCATTATTAACTCCTTATTCTTTTCTAATCTTTTTAAAACTTTGGCAGATTATCGAACATCTTTACCCTTGTTTAATTATCACACCCTTGGACTGCTTCTGGGAGGGGGCAAAGTTACAATCAGGGACTGCATACCTACCGTAAGTGGCGATTGTTGTTTTCTATCATTTGTAAAAAGTTAAACTGAATGTTAGTATTTTGCATTTTTGTTGTTTGTTCAGATGCTAATTGGGCAGCAAAATACTGGGAGTCACAGGGATGCCTTTGTGGTGTTACAAGTGCATGCAGCTTTGATACATCCATCTTGTCATCTTTATGATGGATGTTCTATAAGAAGACAGACACCCTGTTCAAACATTTTAAAGTCTCCATTTCCATGAATGCCACTATATAGGGGAGATAACTTATGACCAGGCATGACACTAGACACAGCTGCAGCAAGGTCGTGTAAAAGGAATAGCTACTATGCTCATGTGCATTGCTTCCAAGAAACTTTTCTGGGACCGAGTTGCTTTCTCCGTGTAGCTGCTGCATCATCAGGCCTTGCTGGGCTGCTCCATATTGGCCAATTTAGGAAGAGTAGGTCCAATGTGCACTAACTTAGTTGAACCTAGTTGCCAATGAAATCAGTGAGACTAGTTATCCATGGACTGTTCCGTTGATTTCAATGAGAACTAAGTTCAGCTAAGTTCAGCCAGGGTCTCAATCAGTATCTAAATGAACTCTGCGTGTCACTTGTCGCCTTAATCAACAAACATTAGTGATTTATAATTGACATTGATGTGACTGGGATCTCAGTTTTTACTTAGAATTGGTTTCTACTGTTGTCTTGCAGATTTGTATTTTTTTATTTCTTCAGACACATGGAATAGTAACAACTGGAAAGTGTAATTTATCAGACATATGCTCAACAGCTTCTGAGTTTTGCTAGTCTTGCAGCTTCAATCAGATGATTTGTGTTCTGTTCATTCTCCTCATCACACATCTTTGCCCTATATACTAAGCAAACTACCTAGAAAATAACCACTGGGCTCTCCTTTCCTATCTGAAAGACAATTCTGAAAATAAGATAAAGTTCTGTCCTTTTAAGTGTGGTGGAGCACACATTTTCCTCCCTGAAAACAAATGCCTCTGTAGGCTGTAAGCACATGTCTAAGCTACTTCCATCACAATTTAGAATGCCTGTGTATCTTCATCCTTATGATGCTATGAATGATTATTTGGGAAGAAATTAACTTTGCTATTTTGATGCTTTTAAATGACAAGTACAATAGCAGGGATGACCAAATAATTTTTCAAATAAAAGTATGTGAATTTCCACCCTGAACTAAAGAATCAATAACAGCAACAGTAATAACAGTAATAAACTCTAGAAGAAACTAATCCTTTGTTTATCAGCTTTTTGACTGATAAAAGATATTGCTTTTGGAAGATAATTATATACAATGTAAAGTGCTAATCAAACAGTTAATTTTAATCAGTTTAGACGTTTTTTGTTAACTATGCAAGGCTTAGCTATATTGTGTTTTTGTCTTTTCCCTGGTTTGCATGCTTCTATAAAAGCAATTTGCAGTGGCCATCTCTTAACCTTCTGAGTTTTTTTAGATGGGGGAATAAGGGAGTTTGTGTTTTCTGGTTGGTAGAGTTTGAATAATGACTTAAGCCTGGTTAAGCAGATACAGTAGTCTGAACCACAAAATAAGGCAGCCTTTATGGTCTGTCAACATCACACAAAATCAAATGTGGAAATAGAAAGAGAGTCATGATGGAGGTGGCATCAAGGGCCAAGGAGTTTGCAAGAGTATTGCTACACTCCCAAAGTTTGAAGAAGCACTGGGCTATTAAGTATTAAACATCAGAATGTTCTTGATTGCCTCTGAAAGAAAAATACTGCAATACAAAATCTTTCATAAACATCTACCCTCCTTTCAGTTATATGAGTTTGATTTTTTTTCTTATGGGGTTGTTTTCCTCCTTTAAAGTGAGGCTACCTATTTCATTAAGGCATCAACAGGCAGCGTTTTAAGTATATCTATAGGCTGTTTCTTTGCAGATATGAAATTTCTTGCCACTTTGTATATCCCTGGCTACATGTGCGCACGCAACATAATTGTCTATCCAGGGTAATTTATGAGTTGGTTATTTGAGAATATTGGCCAACACCAACTTCTGCAATCCTCCAGAAACTGGAAACTGTATTCCTTCAATCATAAAAGTGGCTTCTGTAGGATATTGGTTGCTGTGGTTTCAAACTTTACATTTCTGCATATGGATGGAGAAATTACACCTTGGAATGCGTAAAGCTGCTCACATGAACATGAAATGTCATGTCTGAAATCAGACCTAGCATATGGCTTCTCAACAGTCTTTTCAAAAGGAATGGAATTATTACCAAACTCAGCAGGGTTTGGTAGTAACTCAGAATCCTAAACACGTTTTCTCAGAACTAAGTTCTATTGATTTTTCAATGGACTCCCCCCCCCCAAGTAACTGTGATTAGGGTTAAGTTGGGCTGAATTGTGTCCAGTGTTTGTTTTGAATTTGGATTTGTATGGAGAGTGGGGGAGTTAAGGTGAATATTTCTGTGAATTCCTGTGGAGATTGTTGATGCCATTTCATCCTTCTGTTTTGTTTTCTTTTTACAGAGGGAAACCCCATTTGCAGTGGACAAACTTTGATCCCTTAGAATTCTTAGAAGAGTTAAAGAAAATAAACTCCCAAGTAGATACCTGGGAGGAAATGCTGAATAAAGCAGAAGTTGGTCACGGGTATATGGATCGACCTTGCTTAAATCCCGATGATCCCGACTGCCCTATCACAGCCCCCAACAAAAATTCAACCAAAGTAAGTTAGTTTATCTTTCATTGGCTAATTCAGGAAAATGTACTAAAAATGGCTAAACTTCACTTCCTATCCTAAAGTCCCCTATTATCAACAATAGTTTTTCAGTTTCAGGATAGTTAAAATTCCTCTTTTAAGTCATGCATGGGCATTGCCTTGCCTACAGCATTTGTTATCAGCCTGACACTATGAGCTTTCATATGCTCTGCAACACACACATAAACAAGTGCCTTTCTATTTGGTATACAAGAGCAATATATAAATCAGACCAGTAAATATTGGTATCACCACCTCTGCAGAACAAATTGGCCAGTCTTGGCTTAGAAGTTGTTCATTTGGTAGTTAAGTTTCAACCAAACTTCTGAAAATATACTTGTATAAACAAACTTTTTTTGGCTGGTAACCAATTGTGATGCTGTTTTGTTCAATTGCTTCATTTTATTTCTTTTTGCTTTTGTCATTGCAAGTTGTAATAATTTCTTACTATAATGCATCATATATGTATACTAACATTTTTTTAGTATTTTTGTATATGAAGCACTTAGAGGTGTATATATATTTCAATAAATGAATTAACCAATCAATAAATGGTTTCCCAGCATTTTGATCTGGCACTCTGGGTGGTATTAAGTGGTATCATTCTTTCTGTGTAACACTTCTGCTGCTTGTGGAAACTTCAGTTCCATACCTGTCCAAGAGTCACACAGATATGTTGCTTCTGCAAGCTGTTGCATAACTCATTGCAACTTGCACTAGGCTGGTGTTGCTTGTGCTAATTGTCCTGCTAGTGGTTGCACAAGTGTAAGGGGAGTCATGCTAATGGAACCTCTTGTACTTTTTCTGCTAGCATAACATTGGATGCAACCCTGCTTTTGGAATTTTGATTTTATCCATTTATTTATGGGTTGCTGACTCCTTTCTGCATTTGTCTGTAGATGTTCATTTGCTTATTAATCCAAGTTTCAGTTCTGGGTGTGTATTAAATTACAGAAGAAAAGGATCCGATTGAGCAGATTCTGAAAAGGGGATTAAGAATGCAATCCCCACTATGCTGGCTGGGGATTGCTGGAAGTTGCACAACTTTTTTGTCTAAACTTACATAGGTTTAAATTGGTCACTATGAATCTCTCTGGACAGTATTGATTTGCTGATGTTTTAGTTACCTGAAGTTCTATTTCTCCAGTGTTGTTTATGTCTTCCTATCAAGTGAGAGATTTAGTATATGAATGTGACTAGATTGCAAAGTCATTAAGACAATTCAATCATGTTTTTTAACTGACACTACAGCTAATTGTAAAACAATTCATAAAAAGCCAACATGTTATCTTTAGGAATCTCTGTGATATGTTTTTCAGCACACGCACACACTTTAAATGTTGCAGTTCCTGAAATCAGTTCAGCTTATGTTCTAACCTACACTTTCTATTTGTATTATCACACATTAAACAAATATAATTCACAAAGCTTAACATCACTGGCTAGATATTTTGCAAAGGTTTTACTGTGTATCTACAGAATTACCATTTTTAAATTAGCTAGAATATCCAGCAAATTATATGGGAAAGTACAAACAATGTAAGCAATTTGGTAGGCGAAGTTCTTTCAAGGGTAGAAATTATAACTATGAGAGCCAGAATGGTGCAGTAGTTAAGAGTGCTGGGCTGGAACTCAGGAGATCTGTGTACTAGTCTCCCCCTCCCCCTTAGGCATGGAGCTCACTGGGTGACTTGAGGCCAGTCAGACTCTCAGCCCAACCTCCCTCACAGGGTTGCAGTGAGGATGAGATGGAGAAGAGGGAAAGAATTATGTAAGCCATCTTGAGTTCCTTGAAAGTTCCTTTAAGTTCCTTAAATAAAATAAAAAGTACTGTCTGGTTAAGGTCATAGTAAGTACTAAACAATTTAGAAGATAATGTGGTCAGGATTATTTGTCTCAGGTAAATCTACAGATTAACTTTTAGGGCTGGGATTTGGACTCAAGATTCAGCATGATACTATGGCTTACTTTACTAAACACTTGGCTAGGCCACTAGTCTGTACTTCCTCCTTTTCTCTGCTTGTTTCCCTGCTGGCTTTCTGCTGCCTCTTAGGAAGCTTGGTTGGAAAATGGGGAAAATCCATAGCTATTCTTCACTGCCAAATTTAGTCCTGGCAGGAATGGAGGGGCTGTAATTCGATAAGGATTTACCTGGACCTCCCTGTCTGCTTTTAGAGCTTAATGCAGAGCAGGGCTCGGGGCCGGACTTCTGTGAAGTTCTGAACTTGTCTTCCTGGCTCCCTAAATGGATATCACTGTTATTATATACACTGGTTATTTTGTGCTTTTTATTGTCCTGTGATTTTATAACGTTTTTGTTTATATTGTAGCCTCTTGACGTGGCTCTTGTTTTAAGTGGTGGATGCTATGGGCTATCAAAAAAATACATGCATTGGCAGGAAGAGCTGATTGTTGGCGGCACAGTTAAAAACAGTACTGGGAAACTTGTCAGGTAAGCATTCCTGGGCTGCCAGCATGTTCTTGTCTGATGCATTCCCTATTTCTTTGCCTCCTAGCGGGAAAAATCCCTTGTATACATTTTTAAATGTTCCAGTGCTTTCTTGAATCAGCTGTCTTGCTATGTACTATGCTATTTGAATCTGTTGTATTGCTCACATGTATAAAGTGCATTTCAACTTTGGGTGTAACTCATTCTAAAGTTACTGTTTCAGTTCTAAAGATTTTTATCCATGTCTAGTTCACATTTAAGCTCCAACGTTTCTGCTCACATTCCACTTATAAGGAAAAGAAGCAAGGGGCCTCTGGGTTGTAACCAGTTGTATCCTTCTGCTAATGGACAGCTGTATAATCCAGTAAAGGCTTTCATCAGTGGAATGGGAGGGAGGTGATTTTTCTGCCAATCCCCTTTCTTCCTGCACCACTTCCCATGCTTTTTCAAAGGGTTCCACCAGTCCTCTGGGGAAAATCTGGGTGGGGAGGTGGGATTGCCAAAATGCCCTGTTTCATTGATAGAGCCTCTGCTGGAACAAAGAGCCTTCCATCAGTGGAAGAACCCACTGGGTACTAAGCTCTGTGTTTGCTTGCTAGATGTCTTGCTGAATTGCTGCCCTGTGCATTTTGGGAAGGCAAAGGACTGCTGCCACCTGCTTCCTTGAAAACTCCATCTCAAGAAGCATGTCCAGTCTCAGATTCACACATGCTCATCAGGGACCTCTTACATGTTTACTCTGTAGTGCTATGAGCTGCAGCCTTCATGGGTATAGCTTATCACAACTGGGATAGTCAGACAGTCTGGTCCCCTGGATTAGTATCTGGAGAACAGGGTGGGCCCTAAGAATACTTAAGCTGCTCATCTCATAACAAGATTGGAAGGGCATTCATAACTTCTCAATTCCCATACCCCAGTGTCATTTTTGCAGAACTTTTATTTACATTTCATGTTGAGCTTGTGTTTACATAACTGTGCTAAGATTTGCGGCCTAATTTTCTTCAACAAATATTGAACGCGGCTATACATCAAAATAAAACAGTGGTTGCAAACATGCATTAAAGGAGAGGAGCATGTGAAGCTGCCTTGTGCTCAGTGGGACCATTGGTCCTTCTAGCGCAGTATTGCTGATCTGTAGCAGACCTTCAAGGTTTCTAGCACAGCCCTGCTGCTGGAAAGATGGAGAGGACTGTAGCGCTGTGCTAGACCAGCTGTCTGTTCATGCGGATGGTCCCAGGTTTATTCTCCCCCATCTCCAGGTAGGGCTGGAAAGTTTCCTGCCTGTGAAACCCTGGAAGCCCACTGCCAAGCAATGTCAACAGCACTGGGCTAGATGGGCTTAGGATCTGAATCGGGATAAGGCAGTATGCAGTATTCTAGCTAACCAAAAATACTTCGAAGTAGAACGCCGTGCATTAGAAATAGTTCCTGGAGAATCATGAGCTCCTTGCTTTTTCTTTTTTTAGTGCCCAGGCGTTACAGACCATGTTTCAGCTAATGACCCCTAAACAAATGTATGAGCACTTCAAGGGCTATGAATATGTCTCGCACATCAACTGGAATGAGGACAAGGCAGCTGCAATTCTGGAAGCCTGGCAGAGGATGTATGTTGAGGTAAAATAGGAATTCACCTAGACAACCAGCAGTGTTAGACTTCAGTGTAGCCTAGTATTCCTTCAGTGAAGTAATTTAAGGTATTGCCAGGATGGCTGTGTGCTGTGCTTAAAACGCAAATGTGCTGAGACTGACAAAGAAGTTAAGACCCTCCAATTCACCTTTCTTTCAGTGTGCAGGGAAGCCTACCAGTTCCTGCTATGAATGACACCAAAGAGAAGTGCACCTTTGTTTTAACACAGGAATTTTGAAGCCTTTTCTGATTTGCTGGTGTGACACTGCATTGCCATAGCTCAAAGAGTTAGGCTGGTTTCAAAAACATTTGGTCAGTGTGGTTATCCAGCAAAGGTGTCTGGAAAACATTAGCCAGCCACAGAATCTGTTCACAGCTGCAGTCCCATTGGTGAGGTCATGTGACATGATCTGGCCTTTGTTTCCCAGGCATTGACCTCTGCCAAGCTGCTGGTGACCTCTCTGAAGTGTCCAGCCAATGAAGAAAGAGAGGATTGCTCTTAAGAATTTGTTGTTTTAGATTAGAGGCACAACTGATGTAACAACAGACCAGTTGTAGGCTCACGGACAGAGAAAGCAGGAAAGGAGGGGGAAGGAGTGGAGAGGGAGCCATGAACCTTCTTCAGTTTCACTATTTTAAATTAATTGCAATTTTCCTCTCCTCCAAGGCACACATTTTTATTTGATCTGTAGCAGCCCGCTGTGCCTCTGTACCAAGTATGGCAATTGTGTAACAAAGGGTCAGTGACACGTCCTCTACAGTGTGTGAGAGAGAGCGGGGCTGGTTTTAAACTATATCCATGCATGAAAGTATCATATTGTCCCCCTTATGTGATTGTGCTTCCAATCTCTTTTGTATAGGTTGTACATCAAAGTGTTGCACAAAACGCTACTCAGAAGGTGCTTTCCTTTACTACAACTACTTTGGAGGACATCCTAAAATCATTTTCTGATGTCAGCATTATCAGAGTTGCCAGTGGCTACCTACTCATGGTAAAATGGACAGAAGAGCAATGTTATACTTCGTGATTTATTTGCGCATTATTCCACAGTAAGCTGTCATCTCAGAAATCACTCTCGGAGCATTCTTGGACAACTCTGAAATCTGTAGTTGTGCACCACTTGTTCAGTCATGTAATATATCTGAGGGAGGATCTGTGACTCATTAAGGGGAGCACATGCTCAGCATGGATGGGGCCACCAGTTTGATCTCTGTGGTTTTCAGTTAAACAGTAACAGAACTGGGAAGACATCTGCCCGAGACGTGCGGAACCGGGTTTTAGACCTATTTGACAGGATTGGACAAGATGTTCTGCCTCAATAAAAAGCCAGGCCTGCTGTCCCATCAAAATGTATTTTGTAGGTGAAGGTTTTGTTTAGAAAAGGAACACATTTAATATGTGACTTTCCCTGATGTTTTGCTTTTTTTTAAACATAGACCCTTTTGTTCTGCTTGCAGCTCGCCTATGCCTGTTTAACCATGCTGCGGTGGGACTGTGCTAAGTCCCAGGGTGCCGTGGGGCTGGCAGGAGTCTTGTTGGTTGCACTCTCGGTAGCTGCAGGATTGGGGCTCTGCTCGTTGATTGGGATTTCCTTTAATGCAGCCACAACTCAGGTATTAAAGGAACAATGCAACAGATTGTTTAACAGACTGAAGCAGGGTGGGGAGGGGGAGAATGTAAACAGCTCTGAAATACTGGTTTTTAGTACTTTCAGTTGTATCTCTGTTGGCCTGCCAAGTAGTTAACATTTAATATGTCTAAACTGAGACGGCACTGCTACCTGTGGTTATTCAGGACATAGATCTGAATAGAGAATGTGTTTCAATGGGATCTTTATTTACATTTCACACATATAGCTGAATTGAAATTTTAGCACTGGGTATGCATGAGTAGAAGCATACAACAAGGTAAAAACAGCAGAAAGATGTTGTTTTGCTTCAAGATTTTGAAAGTAACTTATGATTGTCACAAGTGTTACAGTGTAGAGTCCTTACAGAGAAAAGAGTTAGGTATTGGCAAACTGGGTTAGAATCTCCAGGTAGTCCAGAAGTTAAGGTTGGCTTTGAAAAAGCACTGTTTCAGGGAGCTATAGGATCCCTTGCTCATCACAGGTAAAATATATCAACAGAGAGGAAATGTATTTATAAATAAATACAGTAGGTTATGATGATCCCAAATCTTGCTGAAATCAGGTACTCCCAATTTACTCATAGTGGTCATCATGTTTTATTTATAAAGCACCTAAAGTCTGGCAAAGTAATTCTCAGCTCATGGTGAAGGTAGTCCACAACCCTGGGGCCTTTTCTCCATCTTTGAAACTCTGAAATCAACCTTACAAGGTGGTCCTCACAAGAATCAATGGAAAGAAGAACATTTTGTCATGTATTCTAAACCTTGCAATGAGATGGGGGAAAATATAAAAGAGACTCAGTAAAACCTTACATTTTCAGCAAAACCAATGTTTTCATCAAACATTTGTAAACTGATGCAAAAAGATTGGGATTTTTGCTAACAGGCATGTATCTGTGTTTAGCTGTAAACAGAAGTCCAGGTGTAAGAATGTATGTTATCTTAGTCAGCTAACTAATATTCTGGTAGGTCATGAGACCCCTTAACTGTCTTTGGTTCCTGTTTCCTTTTTATGCAGGTTTTACCCTTTCTTGCTCTAGGAGTCGGTGTAGATGACGTCTTCCTTTTGGCACACGCATTTAGTGAAACTGGGCAGAATAAGAGAATTCCATTTGAGGTAAAGGCGAGTTACTTGGGGCCATTCTTTCGGAGCTAAGGATTTGCATAATCAATAGTTCAAAGAACCAGGATTAATGCTGTCCTGAGTTAAATTTCTAAGATCAAGAATCTTTGGTGGCAAGGTGAATCAGTTTCCCATTCCATTTAGGGCCATATTGGAGAGACCAGTGAGATACTAGAAAAACAGATAATGGTTGGAAAGAAACTTCAGGTCCTTTGTAGAGGCTTCTCTGATCCAGATCCTTGCATTTAGGTCTGAGTCTGATAAGGGAGAAAAGAGTTCAGATATGTAGGGCAAAGCTTGACCTGACACCCTTGGATTGAAAATATACTTATTACATCTATTTTTAGGCTATAGACTCTTCTTTCTACTATCAATAAAAAGGCATTTTGTACCTGTTCTGTCTTTTCCCTATTTAAATAGTTTTTTCCAATAAGAAAAAAGATGGAAGTAGTGGTGCAAAAGCACTGAAGAATTACAAATGGAAAACTAGCTCATCTGGATCTGCCATATAATTCCACATTTGAGGCAGAGCAATTGTAGGATAAAGGCTTTTCCTGGAAGTACCCTTAGTACTTAGTTGATGCAGTTATGGCTTCATATATGATTATGTGTGTCTTGTAAATTATTTAAATTAAAATTCAAAAACCTAATTGACTTCCCTTGAGTTCTGTACTGTGAATTTTGAGCATGGTTTTTTAATGACCATGGCATCAATAACATGCTGGTGCCATCACTTGTATATTCTTAGCTCCCCGCAGGTAGACATACACAATCTGGATTTATATTAGGTAAACTTTGTATGTGTATGTTGTGTGCTATTTCATTCCTCATGTATTCTACAACTTCCTGTGTATTTTCAGGATAGAACAGGGGAATGTTTGAAACGCACTGGAGCAAGTGTGGCCCTTACATCTATCAGTAATGTAACTGCATTCTTCATGGCTGCCTTAATTCCCATTCCCGCTCTACGGGCATTTTCACTCCAAGTAAGTTTCTAAAGCATATTCATTGTTGGTTCTGTTTATTATTATTATGCTGACTCTAGTCTGGCGCTTTCGTTTGAGAGCCACTCTGGAGCAGGGATTAGTGTTGACTTGGGCGAACACTGCAGAAATTCCCTGCCAGTGGATGGTTCCTCCTAGACTAAGATGACCTACATCACAGTTAGATCAATGCTAGCTAGTATGGGAACTTACATATCCAGTCATATCTGAGGTGTTTAATTTTAAATGTGCTTGCTTCCATGTACATGGTTATGGGGAAATAGCCTTTGATTGTAGCAATGGCTCTCATTATTATATGACATTAAATTACATGTATAGCCAATGTCTTTTTTCCTCTTGCAAGTAACCGAAGGTGGCTTAGATAGACTTCCTCCTTTCTGACCCAAAGTCACCTAGTGAGCTTCATAGCTGAGTGGGGACTAGAACCCAGATCCTCTGGTTTCCCAGTCCAGTACACTAACCACCACACCACACTGACTCTTATTCTACAACAGGGGTCCCCAACCTGCGGCTCATGGGCTACGTGCGGCCCCCAAGCTCCTTCTGTGCGGCCCTGCAACCTGCTTGGTCACTACTGCTATCACCCTGAAGGTATTTTCCCTCAGACCCACACTGTTCTTCCTGCCTCAAGAGCACCTTCTACTGCTGCCTGTTCCTGTCCCTTCCTCACAAAAAATACAATACATAAGAGAATTCCACAGTAAAACACTGTTCCGCCATGGATTGCATTCAGGTTAATATTTCTTCATCAACTTCTGAATGTTTAATTTTGATCTAAATTGGTAGGTTAATAATTTTGTTACATTTTGATTTAAGATGTGGCCCACTTTAAGCATTGGGCACTCTAATTCAGCCCCCATGTCCCAGAAGGTTGGGGACCACTGTTCCACAATGTTTTCAAAAGTGAAAAAGTTGATTCACCCTAGAAAAATCTTGATACATAGACTTAAAACTAATGAAAGTGAAAACCTTGGGCTTCTTTTTGTATATGGACTTCAAAAGGTTTGAAAATATGTTGGTTATGTTTAATTTTTGTAATTTGAGAAACAGGCATGTATTGTTTTTGGTGAAGGTTGGGGTTTGCTGAGTTGCCTCATCTCTTTTAACATATGTGATCTTTCAGTAGAAGTGCCCACTTCTTCTCAGGCCAGTTATATTATTGAAACATCCAGGAACATGGGGTTATACTTGAGCTTGTAAAATAGGGCCTTGCACCTCTTGCAGCTCAAGGGCCAAATTTAGTTTTACAGAAGGACTCACAGCTGCATCCCAATGATAGAAGGGACTGAAGGCAAATGGGTAAGGGCAAAATACAAATAATATAGACCTATTATGGCTTAAAGTTCATACTGTCAGTAATTAAGCCTTAGGAGACGCCCTTTATCCAGTTTTTAGGATGGGGAGACAACTGCCCAAAAGCCAGGAAGCCAGCAAATGGGTGGGGACCATCTGGAAAAACAAATTTGGCTCCTGTGGGGGTCTGAGGCTCCCCAGTCCAGTTGCAGCTGTAGAACAGTCTACAGAACATAATATATTTTAAGGGGAAAAGAGAAAGGGCATTAACAGATACTACTAGTTTGGGAATAAGAAGAAAATAATCAAATCTCTTATCATTCCTACTTGGATGGTTATGTTGAGCTGGACCTAAATATTTTAGAACATTTAGGGCTCAATCCTGTGCATGTTCAGACTGAAAGAAATTCTGTCATCTCCCAGATGCTCCAGTTAGTATGGCTGACTGGAGTATACTGCAAGTCATGGGACCTTTTTCTCTCTTCTCATGCATAGAAATGCACTCTTACTAGCTAAGAATCAGCATTCATGTTCTCAAAAGTGGATTAGAGCCACCGCGTATGGCATTTCCCTAGGCTGGTGATTTCTCTCTCTCTTTTATACACAATCAATGGCTTAATTACCAAAGGCACACAGGCAGGAAAGGAATCAAATTACTAATATAGATTGTGAATTTGCTTAACTGGCACCATTTAACTGGACTCTTAACTGTTTGGGAGGTTCATGTTGCTTTCAGAAACTTGGGGCTTTTCTGAGATGTGACTAATCCTGTAGATGCTCATAATAACCTTGGAGTCAGTTGTGGATTTAGAGGTTGTGTAGCATATCAAAATGCATCCAGAAAGAGGTTTGTCTGCCACAAGGACATGTCATACATTTTTTGCATAATTAGATAACATGTACTCAAAGACGTCAGTCCTCAAACCTAGTGTAAGGCATGCTATTTTACCACTTACATTTTAAAGGTCTTTATTATGAATAATACTGTCCTATAAGCAAATATTTAGCAGTTTTTGGCCTGCTGTCTTCCTTTTTACAAATATCTGCCACATTTGAGAGCTCACTGGTCCCAGGCACTGTACAAGCCTCAAGGGAGCAGAGTTTCAGAAATAGGCAATACAAGTTGCATATCTAAAAAGCACATCCAAAAAAGGGGAAAGTAGCTTTGTAGGCCATAAGAAAAATAGCAAAATCCATATCAGGATCAAAAAGACACAAAAAATATGCAAACTTTTAAGAGACTACAAATAGTGGGGCAGAGAGGAAGAATGGAGGAAGGAGAGAGATCATGGCAAAGTCATGCGGTCTGTATGCTCATAGTCTTCAGATGAACTGGTGTTGGAGGGGGCAGTAGCCAATCTGTGTAGGTTTTACCAGGTGATACGCTAGTTTCAGGCTGTACTGCTGGGAACAAGAAACAAACAAATATAAATTCTAGCTCTTTCTCAAGACTTAGGCAAAGCATACTCCAAATTGTGATTCTTTGCTTGCTTACTCAGGTGTTTGCAGATTGTTTTGGTAAAATTTTGATACCAGTTCAGATACTTATGCTTAGTGGGAGCTGTCCACCAGATTCTTAGTGGGAGCTGTCCACTAGGGATGAATTCAAGTTTTATGTTACAAGCTACACGTGTAACTTATGTAATAAAGCAGTTAAGAATTAATTGATGTCTAAGTGGGGTAGAGTCCCATTCCCTGCAAGACTAGCAAGGAGTGTTGATGATGCTTTAGCTAATCACTGTAAGCTGTGCCCCTGGCTATTCAATAATGCATAACTATGGTTAACAGGAACCATTGTTCAATGTTATTCAATGGATATTCCTGTTAATTGTTAAACAGTGAGCCTACCTCAGACCATGGCTTGCATTCTGGATTGCAATTATTGCTTAACCATAGTTTAGTTGTTCAGCTTGATAATTATTCATGATTATATAATTGGTTGCATTATGATGATCAGTTATGAGTTTAAGAAACCAAGAAATGAACATTTTTGTTCCTCCCTATGTATGAATGAAGAAACAAGTAAGGAAGCCATAGCTAACTTTAGCTTTCTATGACATGTAACAATGGTTAATGACATCTCAACCAGCCAAAATATGGAAGCCAGTGGAGGCTAGAACTGTTGGACTGGGGACCTGGAGGATCAAGGTTCTAGTCTATCCTCAGCTATGAAGCTCATTTGGTAACTTTGGGCCAGTCATGGGCTCTCAGCCTAACATACACCATGGGGTTGTTGATATGAGGATAAAAGTAGATAGAGGAAAGCTATGTAATTTGCCTTGGGTTCCTCACAAGAGGAAAAAAGGCAAGATACAAATTCCTGCATTGCTTGTGTAGCTATACATCAAGCTGGCATGTCAAGTCACCTTTGCTAAGTTGGAAAGGTGTGAGCCTACAGTCAGATGGGTGACCACACATGGAAACAGAGTAGGGAGTTGGACTTGATGGCTTTATTGGTCCCTTCCAATTCTGCTTTCACTCTATTCTGTTGAATGTAACAATAACAATAAGCCAGTATTAAAACATGACATCATCTATTCCAGCCTGTTTTAACCCATCAAATGTAGTTTTCCCAGTTCAAATATAACAGAGGACTGTAGTTAACTGTGGCTTCCTAACTTGTTCCTCTACTTGTGAGGAGCAAAATTGATGCAGGAGGATCATTCATAATTTGACTTATTAAGCCAAGATTTGATCATGTAAATATTGGTCATTATGTTTCTATAAGATCCATGTATAAAGCTTCTAAAATCTGTTACGATGTTGCTAGGCAAAAAAGACCATCCCTTTTTATCATGTTGAACAATGGTATCCAGTAATGGAAATCATATCAATTTTTTTCTAGCAGTCTGAGGACTAGTTCATTTGTATGACTAACAGCCCATAGAAGTGGTCTACCCAGGTCATTCGTCCTGCAGCATCTTCTGTGGTACTTTTTTCCTAAGCTACTCTGATTACATGAAATATTCAGGAACTATGAACTGCTGTTGAAACAAATCAAGCTTATAATATGAAAAGGCTTTGATTTGACATTTATGGGATAATAATGGAAAATATTGGCTCTGTAAGTTAGAGTTTTCCCTTTCTTGGAATTATGGGTACTGTCAGGAGCACTGTATATGCTGCTTTCACATGTGTTATTACTAAATCAACATATTCATTTTGTCTTTAACTGCTAAAACATGCAGAGAGATTTCTGTCAGTAGATGCGACTGATTTCCATGAGTTCATGCAGCAGGGTTCCCTGCTTTAGCTGATAAAACAGAGGCAATGGACTGATAACTTCTGGATCACAGCCAATGATCCACTTCTCACATCAGGACAATCCACCATGTTGCACAAAGCTAGTGCCATTTCTGCACAGTGACTTACTTTTCAAGTACACGCCACCCTGAGAACCTGTGGCTTGTTTCAGGGATGTTCTTGCCCATGATAGGTTGTTGTGTCAACTGAACCCAACAAGGGAATTTCATCATGGTTTGTAAAGAATGGCTTCATGATCCCACAGGTGACTGCCCTTCTACCAATGTCAAAATGGTACTTTGAAAGACCATCATTTGATTTCTTTTTAGAAACATAGAAACAGCAAATCAGAAAGGGGTCTCCCAGGCCATCTAGTCTGACCCCTGGCTCCAGCTGGCTCCGCTCACAACATGCCCAGCATGTGCATGTCCAGCCTATCCTTGAAC